TATATCCTGCCTTGTCCTCTTTAAGATCATTCATGTGTTTTTTTCTTCTTTATAGTGATGAAGAAAAATTAACCTAATATGGAACTACAGAACTATGAGCTTGGTATAACTTTGTTCTGTGTTGTAGATGAATAAGTACTAACAAATGTATTTGATAAGAACCTATGTACTCCCAATAATAAGCCTAATAAGTGTGCTTGTTGATGTATGTAGGAGGAACAGAACTTTGTAACAGTGCTTTTAAGGTGTTAGCCTTCTAAGCCTCTACTTTAGATCTGTGTTAGAAAGCTATATGAAGGAACTTCCCACTCTAAGCTTTGAGCTGTCAAGACAGACAAAATGACAGAAACCATAGTCTGTGAGATCCTTGAAGAATGCAGCCTCTTGTGGTGGTCTTGAAGAAACATTTTCAGCAATGTGTCTTATCTGTTCAAATAGCTGAGATTGTTCTAGCATCAGCAATACAGCATGTTACTGGAAATGTTAGAATCTTTGCCCACACTTGCCCAAAATACCTGCTTTTGTAGAAATGCTGTTTAAATTTCCCATTATAACCTAAAGGCACTTATACCTTGGTGCTGGAAGTCTCAAATCCACCAAATGATTACTGCCAAGGGCTGACGTGAGAAATCCTACAAAACCCTGTTTGTATTTCTCACCCATGCTTCTGTATCTCTGGAAAAGGTTAGCCCAAAGGTAGCCAATTATAAACTTCCTCTTCTCCCTGATCATGGTTTGATTCTTCTCTCATATCCAGGTCAGTCGCAGGGTAATTTTCATAGCAATTATGCTTTGAACACCCGTACATATTTATGTGTTCTTTTTGAGCTCTGTTTCTTGGAATTTTTCTAAATTGCTCGCTAAGGGAACATTACTAAGGAATTGATGCTTTTTTTTTTTCTTCCGTTCATCATATTTTTAGTATTTGGAGATGGGCTCTGCGCATCTGTATTTAGGTTGTTTGTAGTCTTTTCCTCGGTTTTTTATTCAAGGAGAATGGAATTTCAAGATGAAGTTTCAGGCTGGGTGTCTTTGGGGGTGTCTCAGGGGCAGAGTGTCTTAATAGGTCAGGTGTGGTCTCAGCGCACAGCAACCCTGTAAAGAGGCTGTGTACTGTATCCAGGGCTAGACTGACAGCCAGAGTCAGAGGTGAGTGCGAGGGGTGGGGTGAGTGGGTCTGGGAAAGTCACCTGTGTCAGAGGAGTGACCCAAAGACCAGAGGTGGAGCAAATTCAATGTGATTAGAGAAGGGGTGTGGCATGGGTCTCATCTGGATGTGAAGGTTCACCCCAACCACAGGAACCGCATGGAGTGGTTGGTGCAGAGCAGATGCAGGGCAGGTCCAGGAGGAACAGGCGGATGGGAGGAGAGTGTGGACAGTTTTTTTATCAGCAGTTTTTTGGTGTCCAAAACATTCTCATAATAATCACGTACAGTATTTGTTTTTGAGTCACCGTCTCCCTGCAACCCAGCTAGCCAGGAACTCACCATGTAGACAGGCTGGCCTTGAAGTCACAGAGATCCACCTGCCTCTGCCTCTGCCCCCCGGGTGCTGGGGTTAAAGGCCTGTGCCACATCTGACTTATGTACACCATCTGAATTAATCTGCTGCAGTTCTCAAATATGGCAGAGTGATGGCCAGTGTATAGGAATTACTTCAAATCAGTAGTTCCTCCCTTTGCTGTTGTGGAAAACACAAAGCTCTTCCAGTTTGTTCATCCCTGAATTCTGACTTCCATCTTCTACTTTTCTGTATCTAAGGGAGTGACATTTGGATCTAGGGACTTACCACCTATAGAGAGCTTGTTAGGATTAGTCACAGAAGGAATGATTACAGATTGTATTGCATCAGAACATATATTTTAGTGGACATCCACAACTATAGTTGTAAACATTAACAATGAAGAAGCAAACCTGTAATTTACCATTAATGTTCCAACTGAAATATGTAATTTATGATGGGAATCCAGCAGGAAAATGCATATTTTTATGTTGAAGTCCTAATTTTAGATCCTCTAATCCATAATAACATATGCATGCTGAATATGATATCATGCCATACTGTTTCCACAGTTAGAAAAGGCTTTAGAGAATATGACAATGTGGAAAAGCTTCTATAGAATAGTTATGATCAATCCCTACACCAGAAAATGCCTCTTGATCTCTTTGATCTCCTTGATTCAAGGAAAGCAATCTGCTGTGCACACACAGTCAAACTGTTATTGTTAATTTCAGGGCATTTTGACATTTAGTTATATGTCTGTGAACTTGTCCCAGGAGCAGAGGGAATTCCTAGATCCTGCTCAGAGCACTTTGCACACAGACCTGATGTTTGAGAACTACAGCTGTCTTGTTTTTGTTGGTGAGAATATTTTTCTTACAGAATTTCTTACTCATACTTAAGAGTTCCTTGGGGAACTACTAAATGTGTGTGGTGTTAACTTTGTGTGAATGAGTCTCGCATCTCATAAAGGGAAATTCTCATTTCAGAAAAGACCACATCAGTGTAATTTTCTCTCTTCTCATGTTTGTCCTTTCGGAGGGGTTATACTTCTTTCATTTTGTTCCATGGTTAATTCACAAACTTTGTAGCATATAATATCATCACCCCAGTCATACAGTTACATTTCTGACATGGAATTTGGGCTGAACACTAGTTATGCAATCTGAAGAAGCTCTGTAAATATCAGTGTTCTAAGAGAATATTCCAGTTGGAGAGTCATTGGTAGAATTCCCTGTCGTGTTCTCTCTTTATGAGCACACTACTGTGTTAGAGATCAGGTGCTTTCTGAAGACTCAAATCCTGACTCACCCAGCACAGGCATACAAAGGTGTTAGAGCACTTGGTGTTTTGTGCATTAAGCTGCGATCACCTGGGGTGCTGGGTGTGATGGTGATATCTTGAAACACGTTGAAGAGGCAGGTGTTCCTGAGGGATACATTGCTGCACACTTTGTGTGGAAAAAGATTATCATCAATTATTTGAAATTACATTTGTGAGACATGGAGTCAGACATCCATAAATTAAAATGCAATATTATAGGATAGAGTCTACTTTTTAATATTTTTTTAAAAGTTTTATTTGTTATTTTTATGTGTATGAATATATTGCCTGGGGTATATAAGGGCACCCATGTTGGGCAATGCTCATTGAGGTCAGAAGAGGACGTTGGATCCCCTGGAACAGGAGTTACTGATGGGTATTAGCTGCCATGTGGGTGCTGGGAAATGAACCTGGGTCCTCTGCAAGAGGAACCATTGCTCTTAACTGTTTAACCATCTCTACAGTCCCTTAATATTTATTTTTGAAGAAGAAGAACTAAATGTATTTAGGGATGCAATATGATATTTTGTTCTCAATGTACATTTTTGAAACTATTAACACACCTAATGCTTCATCAATTCACATTTTAAAATGTATATATGGAGGAAATGTCATAGCTTTGAGACTGAAAACTGCCTATAAGCCTAATTATTATAAAGTGACTGCTCCTTCAATATTGCCTGTGAAATTTCAAGAATGTGAGACTCTTAATTTCAAGTATAGTCCTCACAAATCATTGGAAGAGACACATTTAATGTCTCACTTAAGTGCATGATAAGCCAGAGAGTTAAAAAAACTTTTTTATTCTATTGTCTTGGACATTCAAATGCATAACCTAAATTTCCCTCAGCCTATGAAGGCATTTTGTAAATTTGGCCCATTTATAGGATGGAGTTCCACTCAGTATTAAAGGAAAAGGAAATCAAGGAATTTGCAGGTGAATGGATGGAACTAGAAATGGTTGTATTAAATGAGGTAAAACAGATGCAGGGAAACAAGCCACAGGTGCTCTCTCTCCAGTGTGGCTCCTACCACCAAATCCTGAATAGATACTTAAAGGAAGTGAATTCAGTATGGACTAGAGAGAGATTCACTCTCTAATTACAGCAGTGCTGTTTGAAGAACAGGGAATCTATTGAAATGCCCATTGACAAATGAAAGATTTACTGAAATGTGATATTTCTAAAGAATACACTACAATTCCATCATAGAAAAGAGTGGAACCTTCTCATACTTGAGAACAGGATTGATCTGGTAGACAATGTATCAGGTAAAGGAAGTTGAAACACAAGCAGAATATGATCTCAGTCATAAGAGAAATAGAAAAAGAACAGATAGATGGTAGATGCCGAAGGTAAAATAGCAGTTTGCAGTGAATGGGGAGAATGTGGTGTAAATAACAGAAACAGTGTCATGGCTGATCTATGACACAGCAAGGTAAATAAAAATTTCCAAGTTGCATTTTATATGTTAAATTTTTTAGAAATTATCAATTTGTATACACTTATCATAGGAAAGGATAAAATTTTACATGTGGATATATTAATGATGACTAGATCAATATCCAGTGCATATGTATAACAAAATATCAAGGAAATGTCAAAAATATGTAAAATATGGTGTCATCAGACAATACTGGTTTCATTTTTATTAAAAGTTACTTATTTAATTTTATGTCATGTGTTAGAGTGCTGTGCTTGGGCATATGGAAGTGCAGCCATGAGAGCCATATCTGTGGAGGCTGGAAGAGAGCATGGGAACTTCTGGAACAGGTGTTCAGTACAATTGCCAGCACCATGTGGGTGCTGCAAACTGAACTCAGGTCCTCTGCAAGAGCAGCCAGTATTCTTGAACTCTGAACTGTCTCTCCAGTCCCAAGAATAGACTTTTAAAATTCACAATGAACTAATTGTGAACTTTAGCCTTTAAAATAAAAACTTGCACTTGTGCCTCCCCCACAGTTCCTGTTTATGAAGCTAAGTAGAGGCATCAGTGATGTTTCACTTAACAGTCGCAGGCAGAAGACAGTGAGGCTGGGGGTCAGCTGCCAGTGCTTCTGAAGGAAAGCTTAGTTTAGCTGCTATTCCAAAACCATGTTACTCTGCCTTGTGTAGATAAGGAGTTGAAGCAGCTACATTCCCATGAATGTAATAGAAATTCTTGATCTTGTTGGCAGGGTGGGCCACTGGCAGGCAGGAGAGGAGAAACTTCTATCGCAGTCTCCATGTTGAGCTCTACCTTCCTGCACATCTACTGTGGCGGCAGATAGGAAAACGGCCTATTTGGTTTTCTGTCGTACTTCTTCCTCTTGTTTATTGGCAGATGAAGTGGATTTTCAGTGAACTGAAGGAAGTTTCTTGAAAGAAAGAGAAGATTCTTAATATATTGCTTGGAAAGGAAACTCACAGAAGGAGGAGAGAGATGGCCTCTTTTCAGGTAAATATATACAAGAGCCTGGACTTTGTAAACTTTCTTTCTCTAAATGTTTGGTAGTTTGAACTTGTAACATTTTCTCATCCAGAGACCAGCTATGTAGAGCAGACTAGCCTGGATCTCACAGAGATCCTTGTGCCTCTTCCTCTGGAGTCCTGGGAGTAAAGGCCTGTGCTACCATCCCCAGGCCACCTTAACTCTTTCCATATGTATCAGCTATGTAGCATATCCACCTCTGCATTTTGTCCTTTGGTGCTTATGTTTTTCAGACTAATCCAATGAATTCATGACCAACCATCTCAAAAATGTTTCTGATGTAATAGATGGAAATTCAAACATGCCAGTCTTCAGTTCCTAAGTAGGGTGGCCTTGGGTCCTCATATTTCACTATATTATTGTTTGAACTGTATATAAGACTGATGTTTTCTTTTATTTTATTCTGATATTTTTTATTTTGCTCAACATTTAATCCCACCAACGTCATAGGCCTGATGGAGTGTGCTGCTGGGTTTGTTGACACCTGTATTCTTTTGTCTCCTGGGAGATGAGTCTCTTGGTTGAGCTGCTCTGCACCAAATCTGAGACTTTGATATTACTGTTTTTAATTTATTAGGAATAAGTTTTCTTCTGGTAGTTTACAGAGGGAAGCACAGGAATCATGACATGTACTGCAGAATCTCTCCTTTCATCACTGTGGCTTTCTTCCTTTCTTTGGAGAGAGAAACCTTTCTCATTTGTTTGCTACATACTGAGTTTTCCAGGTAGAGATTTTTGAAGCAGGCCTCTTTCTCTCTGTCAGTATTGCTACTTCACCCTCAATCACAGCACTGCCTCCATTACTGATTCTTTGAACCTCAGAAAAGAGCTCTCTTCATCAAATGTTACACACGTGCAGGTTTCTGATTTTGGAGGCATTTGTGTATGCAGCATCGACATTGTTCAGTCACTGTTGGATTTTGTCTTCATGTTTTCATTACTCTGTGCAGTGAAAAGCCCAGTTCTCAAATCCTCTTATTGTGGTGTGGATAAGTCAGCCAGTGTGTTCCTTGTAGGTAAATTTTCTGTAGGTAAATGATGATAAAAGAAGAAATTACCATAAAATATTGTTAGAATAACTATGCACGGATGTTTCTGTACTTTCTACATTACATTCAGGGTATAGGATTTTCTTCACAAGGATTGTGTCTTCTTGCTGTGGAGGGAGAGCACACATAGTTCTTTATCTTCTGCCATGTTCTACTCAGTGCTGCTGGAGAAAGTGTCCTTTGTAGCTGGGCCACTGGCCTCACTGCAAAGTCTGTTAGGAAAGGGCCAAGTCAGGCCCAGCCATGGATTATGTTAAGGTAAAAATCCATGTTTTAGCTAGGACTATAGTGCATAATTTAAAACATTTGAATTCAAGAAACAGACTTATAAATCAGTGTGTCTTTGCATCAGATAAATATATACAACTGAACTTATGTGCTAAAAATATAGGAGGAAAATGGTATTTCTGTGTTGAAGGTTTAATTTCTGTGCTATGCTCCTTAACATTATAATCTTCATAAAAATTTGGAGGGTCTGATGCTATTATTTTTTACACAGAGTTAGGGAGTAAATTATGGATAATTACTACTTTAAGAAAATGCCTTTAATCCCAACACTTGGGAGGCAGAGGCAGGCAGATCTCTGTGAATTCAAGGCTAGCCTGGTCTACATAGTGAGTTCCAGGACAGCTGGGGCTACAGGGAGACTCTGTCTCAAAAAGACCAAAGGGGGGAAAACGAAATATCCTTTTGAATAATTCAAATTTATCATCTAATTCAGAAATCATTTACTAATTAACTCTTTCTTTTCTGGGTCCAGTACCCTGTTTAAGTGCACATGGTCAAAATGTCATTTTTCATTTTAGGATCCATTGACATTCAAGGATGTGTCCATAGATTTCTCCCAGGAGGACTGGGAATGCCTAGACTCTGCTCAGAGGGCTTTTTACAAGGAGATGATGTTGGAGAGCTATAGAAATCTGGTGTCTGTAGGTGATGAGGTTTTTCTATCAGAATTTTTTACTATTCTTCATCCTTTGATAGATAACAGTCTACTTTGTACATAGGTTAGTTTTGCCATGTAACTCTTGGATTCCTTAAAAAATAGTGTATTGATGGGGCTGGAGTGATGGCTCAGCAGTTAAGAACACTGGTTGTTCTTGCAGAAGACCTGGGTTCAAATCCCAGCACCCACATGGCAGCTAACAACTGTCCATAACTCCAGTCCCATGGGATCTGACAATCCCTTCTGACCTCCGCAGGCACTGCACGACACAGGTACACTTAACTACATGCAGGCAATACACACATACACATAAACTAAAAATAATAAATAAAAACTTTTTAAAAGTGTATTGGGAATGCCTGGGCATCATGAAGAACATGTTGATATTCTGTCATTATTGTCCATTTCCACTTGTTCAAGGAATTATTATTTTATTATAGAGGAATTATTATTATATTATTCTTTTTGGGGGTTAATTTCTTTAAAAATTAGTTTATGGGAATGTCTGGGCATCGTGAAGTACTTTTATATAATTTCTTTCCACTTCCACATCTTAGAGGAATTATCCAGTTTTATAATTTTTGGTGTTAATTTCAATGACCCATTAGTACATGATACTGTAGCCAGAATCTTAAAGTTCCATTTCCATAGCTGCATTTGTATCCGTGATAGAACTCACCATATGAAAACTGAAAAAATTTCTATGTATTCTAATGAGTCTGTCAGAAAATAAAAATTGGGAAATTGTTTGGAGACTCTGCTCTTTTTCTGAATATTATCAGTGGAGCACAGTGCTGTGTTATAAATCCAGTACTTTCTAAAAAGTCCAGCAGGCATCATCATATGCCTCTTTCTCATACAGAGGTCTTGCTGTGTGTAAACCTGTTCTGGCCTCCTGTCTGGAGCAAAGGAAAGAGCCCTGGAATGTGAAGAGAGGGGAGACTGTAGCCAACCAGGTAGGTTTGAGTGGATGAAGGAGAGGCCCCGGTGAGAGGTCCTAAGTAAAGAAGGATGAAGACCAGAACATGGTTTTGCCATAGTCTATTCCACTAGAAAAAGATTCTGATAATTTAATTTATATCAGTTTCATCAAGATTTTACCTGTAGTAAACGTCAAATGAATTCTTTTATTGTGTGTGAATTATGTGGCAATTACTAGTATGAAAACATCACTTGATTTAATTATTTAATTTTACCTGCTGAATAATTTTTCTGAGTTGTAGATCAGATGAAAACAATCCACAATTGACGGTGGGGTAATGTGAGAGGAAACAGATAAAATTCAGTTTCATATTTGAAATAAGCTAAAAAGAGATGACTTTAGTTGCAGGGTGTGGTGGTGCACACCTTTAATCCCAGCACTCGGGAGGTAGAAGCAGGTGGATCTCTGTGAGTTTGAGGCCAGCCTGATCTTCCTAGTGAGTTCCAGGATAGCTAGGGCTACAGGGAGATCGTATCTCAAAAAGAAAAAAAAAAAAGAGAGATTACCCTAGTTATCACTATACTTTCTCCTTGGAAAATAAGGGAAATGCTAATAATGTGAGGAATGTTCATGTTCACTACATAGCATGAGTCAAGTACTGTGTATCTACTCTTCAAACATGATGCACATCACAAATTCATAGCACATTTCACAAAATAATTAAGTTATTATAATCAAAGTGTCAGCCATCATTATCTAGGGGCTCTTTTAACCTTGGCAAATGTGACTGAGAGAATGATGGAAGAATTTTGAACTAACCTAACCTTTCCTCGGGTATCTTCCACTCTGAGTTCTTGACTGTTTATTCCTCCTGCAAGAGATTTATGTAGTTAAGTTTGAGAACTCATAATCTTGCCTCTTGACTCTTTACAATTTTTTTAAAATTTATTTTTATGTTATGTGTATGTGCTGGCTTGCTTTATTGTCAAGTTGACACACCTGGGTTGAGGGAGCCTCAACTGGGGAATTTCCTCCATTGGACAGGGCTGTGGGCATGTCTGTGGGGCATCTTCTTGATTATTGAGTGATGTGGGAGGACCCAGCTCACTGTGAGTGGTGCCACCCCTGGGCAGGTGGGCTTGTGTTGGATAAGAAAGCAGGCTGAGCAGGGGCAGGGGAACAAGCCAGAAAGCAGTGCTCCTTCATGGCCTCCTGGAGGTAGAGTGCTCCATCTCTACCTCCAGGTTCCTGCCTGAGTTCCTATGTTGGGCTCCCTGTTGAACTGTGTCCCTGCTCATTAGGTATAAAAAGCCACTCTTAAAATTAAACTCACCTTTTTCCACCTGAGAGTTTGGTCCTTTGCCTTCATTCATTCCTCCGTCCACCAGCAGACCCAAGTCTCCACAAATAGTTCTGTTTTTTCCTTGGAAAGCTCTATAGATAGGTAATATCAGTAACTCACCAGAAGAGCACACTGCATGTGTACTCAGCCAGACCCCTAAGGCTGTCCCCTTTCTCATGGTGAGACAGCTCAGATATAAAGTTGTGTTGCAACATACAATGGCCTTAGATTTGCTGACAGCCCTCCAAGGAGGAACTTGTACTGTGTTATATTCCAAGTGTTGTTTACATCCCATATAAGTATAAATATATATATCTTACAAAAAGCAAACAGTGAGAATCTGACTCTCCAAAAGTTAATGGAAATCCTTCTAGAGAAATGGTGAACTAACATTTCAATTCCTAAAGTGAACCATCCTAACCTTGGGAGGTACAGCATGCTCAACGGTCATATCTGTGTTTCCTGTATTGTTACTGTGCACTATGGGTCCAAGGAGTGTCCTGTGGGCCAGATGCAACAGAGAGCCTGATGTCTAGAAGATGTCTAGAAGGGATGAGCTGAAGGGAATCAAGGCCATGAGGGCCAGATGAAGTTTTAGACAGCAGGGTAGTGGTGTAGATGCAGAGGATGACTTAGTTAAGTTGGCTGTCACTGGATGTCCGGGAACCAGGAAGAAACAGCGAAAGTGCACATTGTGTAACTGGGTACAAAACCAGTTTAGGGAAGAGGTCACCTCTGTGATTTCCTATAAGATGTCCTTCGGGCCTGGGGCACATGTTCTCACCTGTGTGCTGGCGAATACAGCCTGTGGTATTTCCAGCACCTCCTTGAATCTTCTTTCACATCAGGTTTCCACAACACCCTCTTGCTCTGGTCTGGGAACTCCAGCCCTAGAGCTCAGGGTTCTACTAGGGTCAGGTCTGCTCTAAGTGCATAGCAACCTCTGAAATCACTGTAGAGAGTCCAGGCCTAGACTGCTGGAGCTATATGGTAAGAGCCTGAGGCAGGGTGGGAGGGGCCGGGTCTGAGTAGGTGGGGATACTCCTCTGGGTCAGGGGAGGGAAAGGGCAAAGAAACAAAGGTTGGGGGAATGTCAATGGCCTTAGAGGAGGGGTGTGGTGAGAAGATTGACAGACATCGAAGTGGGGCGGAGTTTCAGGGCCAGAGGAGCCAAAGGCTCTTGGGAAGGCAGAGGAATCTTGTTTTGACCCATCAGAACTGGAGAGATCCAGCTGGAGTTCTTTGTTGCAGAACCAGAGGAGGCTCTAACCCCACGGGTCTTCCCTGGGACACAGAAACTCACTGAAACCACAGGGACCACTGGGGGAGGAGTGAAACTGCAGGTGGTGTGGGTGTGAAAACTCACCCGGGTGAGTGGAGTGGGGATTAAAGGAACCAGAGGTGGGGCAGAAAAATAAACGTGGTCAGAAATGTGTGGTCCTGAACCCCAGGAGGGACAGGATTGAGGAACTGTGGTGCTCAGAACCATGCAGAAACTCAGCAGGCATTTGATTTTTTGTTTTCAGGCAGGAGTGGGAGTGAGGAGGTGGGGGGCAGTTAGACACTGGTCTCCCTGTAGTCCCCGCTCCACCTCACAGAGATTCACCTGCCTCTGCTTCCAGAGTGCTGGCTTTAAAGGCATGTGCCACCAAGCCAGGCCTTTGCGGTTTTTTTAATTTTAATATTTTTTAAAATTTACTTTGATTTTTTTTTTTTTTTTTTTTTTTGTTTTTTTGAGACGGGGTCTCCCTATAGCCCCAGCTGTCCTGGAACTCACTATGTAGACCAGGATGGCTTTGAACTCACAGAGATCCTCCTGCCTCTGCCTCCCAAGTGCTGGGACTACAGGCATACGCCACCATGACTGGCTGGGTTCTTTTTAAACATAGGGTCTTCCTGTAGTCCCAGGTGGCCTGGAACTTGCTATGTAAACTGGGCTGACCAGGGTATTACAGAAATACCTCTAATGGGATTAAAGTCGTGGGTCACCATGCTCTCTCAGCTCTTTGGGAAATATTTGAGTGGGTTGGGCCATGGGTCCTATTAGATAAATTTTACATCATATAAATTAGGACTAATCCTGATTTTTTAAACTTATTTTATTACTGCCAAAGTATTCCTATAGAAATATCTGATAGATGTTTTTAAAAATTGTGTTGGTGTTTAAATAAGGAAGAGTGGCATAGCCTTTAAGAAATACTTCATATACATTGTTCTCTCCTTGCTAGAGTGGAACAAACTAAGGTCTTCCAATTTACATTCATCTTTCACCCATGCGTTCTAAACTTCATGTTTTACAGCTCATCCAAGAGAGCATTTAGACCAGGGGCCTTGGACTTCCCAGTGAACTTGGTAGATAAGTAGACACATAATGAATGACTGTAGATTGAATTGAATCAGAAAACATATTTTAGCAATAATCCACAGTTACCATTCAGCTCCTTCAGTGAATTAAACATTTCACTCATCTGCTTGGTTAGCTCATTCAGAGTCCTTCCATTCCATTGTCTTTAAAATGGTTATTTTTTTAATCATCAGTTTTTTAAAACTTCTTTATCATTTTTATTTTATGTGTATGAATGTATGGCCTGCATGTACTTAACTGTACCTATGTCATACAATGACAGTGAGGTCAGAAGAAGGTGTGGAATCCCCTGAAACTGGAATTAGAAATGGTTGTTTGTCACCACATAGGTTCTGGAACCCAAACCTGGGTCCTCTGCAAGAGCAGCCAGTGCTCTTAGCCAATGAGCATCTCTCATCTCATCTCTCAAGCCCAATCATCAGCTTTAACTACATAAATAGCAATAGTAACATTGAATCTAAAACCATTTTCATTGGCTGGTTATATAGATGATCAGGATTGTTGCCTCCAAACAGGCATTCCTTATTTCCTGGTAACATATTTGTATTGATTACTAGTTTTATTTTTTTAATATTCATTTTGAAATTTAATAATTCTGTATGACTATTGAAGGTGTTGTGATCATATTAGCCCTCCCCATTGCCCTTGCTCATCTCCCTCCCACACATCCCTCACCATCTTCATCTTTTCAATTTCTCTCCCTGTTGTTTCATCTACTTGTTCAGGTCATGGGCAGGAAGCCAGGCTGTTCTGTGATCATGGCTGCAGCTTTCTCCAGAGTGTTTACATCTATTACCCATCCTCCAGATTAGCTTATTCTTTCTGCCTCCTCCTCTGTAGTGTGTCCTGGGACTTCAACAGGATAATACAGATGTTTTGTTCGTGGCTGTGAACTCAGCAGTCTCTTGTTCTCAGCAGTACTGGACCAGTCTCTGCAATAACTTCTCCCCTTTGCAAAATAAGTTTCTTTGACTCAGGCTGAAAGCTGAGTCTATGGATAGATTCAGAGGTGTTTAAAGGCAGTTTAGTTTTATGTACATTAGCGAAATAGCAGTAGATTCCATTATAGGCCTGTCACCTTCCCAATCATAGAGTTTTAACAGCTTTAAAATAGATGCTCTCATTTTCTTCTGTGAATCAGACATCAACGACAATCAGAAATCATTTGTTTACCCCCAAGACAGTCTTGCCGCTATTGCAACAGTGGGTATATCTTACCTGGCAGTTTGGTATTGTAGCACACAGTGTCCACATCTGGGTCAGACCATTGATGGCTCTTTTCCCCCAGCTGACTGCAGCAATACCTTTTGGCACTCTGAAGTCTAGACAGCATGGAGAAAAAAATATTTTTAAAACACTGTGAATTGTCTGTTGACTTCTCAGCATTCATTGTTGATGTCTAAAAAGCCATCTAATTTTGTGCATGGATGTATAGTTTATTAAGCTGGGTATCAGATCTGAGGTTTTTGATGGCGTGATGTATAGTTTATTAAGCTGGGTATCAGATCTGAGGTTTTTGATGGCGTATTTACGGTCTTTCAGTTGCAGAATTATACTGATTGCAAATTACAATATCTTGCTTTTTTTCCTATATTGTATTGGGCCTTTGGGACCCTCATACACATGGCATGGAGAAAAATGAGGCCTAATATAATTTCC